TATTTTTGAACTACAATCCCAAAACTCCCCAACCCAGCATGGCTGGCTGGGGAATTCTGGGAATTGAAGTCCACACATCTTTAAGTGGCCAAGGTTGAGAAACACTGCTATATTTGCATCATAAGCCTATCATATAGTTGTTTCTACTCTGGTGAGAGCCAGTGGGGTACAGTGGTTAAAGGCACCAGGCTAGAAACCAGGAGACCATGAGTTCTAGTCCCACCTTAGGCACAAAGCCAGCTGGGTGACCCTGAGCCAGTCTCCCTCTGCCAGCCCTAGGAAGTGGGCAAGGGCAAACCTCTTCCAAAAATCTTGCCAAGCAAACCGCAGGGACTTGTCCCAGCAGTTGCCAGGAGCCAACACTGACTCAAAGGCTCAAAATAAACCCACAAACCCACAACAAAAAACCCCCCTCTCTATAAGATGCCTTCTCCTCTTTCTGTTCCCCATCCAGCCTTAGCATGTGGACGTCAACGGCCTATTATACGGATAGCGGGTGGCGTGAATGCCCAGCGTGGCGAGTGGCCGTGGCAAGTCAGTCTCCAATATCGTGACCACCATTTCTGCGGAGGAAGCCTCATTAGTGATCAATGGGTTATCACTGCTGCCCACTGCTTTTATGAGTGAGTGAAGATTGATACCCCCCTCCTTGGTGCCCCTGAAATGCCTCTTAGCCTGATGAGGTTCCTTTGGCCAGACATCTCCTGGTGCATCTCCTGAATGTCTCATTGGTGGCTCAGCCTACTTCCACCACCATCTCCCCACTGAAGACTGTTTTGATTTTGCCAGGCATAGGTGGCTGCTGAACACCAAACCAAATTGTTGGGTGGCTAGTCCTCCAGAGAGACAGACAGATGTACAATTCTACCTGGAGATACCAGAGACCATTAGGTTTCCCTGAATGAAAAGAATATTTCTGCTATAGTACACTCCCATTTTGCCTTTGAAAGCCTTCAGCATCAAATCGAAAAAGAAAACTGGAATGCGGAGATGTCACTGAATCCAAGGGTTTTACAATCCACTGACTAATTGACAGAAGTATTACAGGACCGTTCCTTATATTTTTCCCCAAAGGATCATCTTCTTTGTATCAATTCATTGCAAAGGCAAGATTTTTACCTTAAGGCAGTCCTTCTTCAACCTGGGGCCTCACATTGGAGCCCCTTGTTCCATCTCCCCAGCCATGTATACTGGCTGTGAATGATGGGAGTTGTGGTCTAGTACACCAAAGGGGCACCAGATTGAGGAAGGTTGGAGGGAATTCCAGCTTCCTCATATGGGTGTTGTTTTATTCCAGGGTTGGGAAAGAAATCAACCTTGCTGAATGGAAAGTGGCGTTGGGAATTCTGAAGCTGACCGGGAAAAGGGCAACTGGAATAAAACAGAACATCTCCTTGGTCATCCCCCACAAAAACTACACCAACTACAGGGCTGGCCATGACATCGCCCTAGTGCGCCTGGCCAAGCCTGTGAGCTACACCAGGGACATCGCACCCATCTGCCTGCCCTTCGCTGACCACCGCTTCGCCTTCGGGACCCAGTGCTGGCTGAGCGGCTGGGGAGACATTGCCGCCAATGGTGAATACAAGGGGTTAGAGTGGGGAGGGGGACGTAGGGGCTCTTCAGATCTGGTTTCAGGAGTTTGTAAAGGACACCGATGAGATTTTTTTTAAAAAATCAAGGGTCTGGAGTTTCTTCTATATAACAAAAGCCTTTAGGGGGGCACTGGACACGTTAAGGGTGGATAAAACAATCACCGGCCAGTCATCCTGCTGGTTACATTCTTTCCCTCCCTCTGGGGGGAAAAGCCAGCATGCTGACAAGGAGGCCATTGCTACATGATTGACAGCTGGGATCCAGAGAGGGAGATAGGATGACAGGAGTGGCCATGGAGGCAGCTGCGTGAAGAACCAGGGGAAACTGGGGCTGAAGCCAAGCTGAAGTTAAGTGGAGGTGGAACAGGACAGTGGCTTGTCTGAGAGACTACCAGACCAGGGTTTCTCAACCTTGGCCTCTTGAAGACGGGTGGACTTCAACTCCCAGAAGTCCCCAGCCAGCATGCTGGCTGGG